ACCATCACAAGAAATGGTTCAACTCCCAACATTACTCGTACACCCAATTGCTATCTCTGTACTCTCTACAAACAATAAATGTTGCTTCACTCTAATCCTCATTATTCATTTCTCTCACTACCATGTACTTAATATAACAACTGGTGTCAGAAGCATGTGGCAATGGAAATGGATATAACTCACATCATCAGCAAAGGATTACAGAACCCAACAGTACCAGCAAACCATTCCTTCTTTACCAACAATCATCTCATTCTTGACTTTGCTGAACTCAACGCTACTCACAGTCTATGAATCAAACTGAGATCTGGGGGACCTGTTACCCTCTGTCGCAATTAGATCTCATTCTGATTCATTCTGCACATAGGCCAGATATAAATGCCTTGAAAGTGGAAAATGAAATAACAAAAGTTGTTTTTTGCGCATTAGGCTCCATGCACCATATCTGGTCTATGAAGTGAGCTTCGGTGGTAGCCAATCAGGAACATCCCTGCCAGTAAAAGAGATTCTTCTGGGTACCACCAGCCCCGATTAAAAGCAGGCTAGGAGGATAATCAGGATACAGCTCAGCCACTGGCCATCACGCAGGGTGCAGCTGCTGCAGCTGTTACTGCTGCCATGACCTTGTCACCATTACAACAGAGTTGCAGACTGGCCACCACACAGAGCACTACTACTGCTACCATCTTCACCACCACCACTCGACATGACCGCACATGTCAACAACTATTACCACTTCCTGGCTTGACCTACCACTTCGTCTATCAAGTTTCATCTCAAAACATCTCAAACTCAACTCCACCCAGCAGAGCTGTCCAGCTTCAACTTGAAACATCACAACTTTGGTTTCTCCCAGCTACAAGCCTTCATTGATACCAACCCATGCCATCACCTCGGCCTACCTCATCTTGTTCCCAAGGCATCCCATTCACAGTCAACCCCAGCAACATGCACTCCACACAACAGATCTACCTCAACTTGTTTACAAGGCATTCCCTTCAAAGTCAACGCAACAACCTCCATTCCACAGGACAGGCCTTCCAAAACCCACCTTCACTTCTGCCCACCTTGACTTATTTACAAGGCATTCCCTTCGCATTTGACCCAGTGACATCTACTCCACAAAACAGGTCTACCTTGACTCGTTTATAAGGCATTCACTTCACAGTCGACGCAGCTACCTCCATTCCACAGAACAGGCCTCCCAATACCGCCATCACCTTGTTCTTCCTTGACTCATTTACAAGTTATTACTTTCACAGTCGACCCCAGCAATATCCACTCCACAGAACAGGTCCCTCTCAACTTGTTTTCAAGGCATACCCTTCACAATCAACACCAGCAGACTCTGTTCCACAGAACAGTGCTACCAAGACCACGCCAATCTAACATCAGCCTGTTTCAACACAACAGGTTGACCAACCAACAAGACGACCTACAACCATGACATCCATCAACCAAATGTGCACCAACTATGTCCTGTGATATCGGCCACACCATCACAAGAAATAGTTCAACTCCCAACATTACTCGTACACCTGATCATTATTCCTGTACTCTCTACGAACAATAAATGTTGCTTCACTCTAATCCTCGTTACTCCTTTTTCTTGCTACCATATGCTTAATATAACAACAACCTATAGACCTGAAAAGAATTTGCAGAGAGATTAGCCAAAAGTTTATTTTCACAACATCCTCTGCAACAAAAAGAATGATCATCTGTCCAAATAAATCTTGAAAAGGATATATCTATTTGAAACCTTAAGCCCATCAACAATAAAAAGATATTACTTATTTTTATTTGGTTTACTTACTAAAAAATACAAAAATGAATATTCTTAATTTAACAAAACTTAATTTACTCCTGAGAAGAAAAATGATACAATCTTAGGTTAAAGATTGATGACTTGTTTTCTTTTAACTGATTAGGGGTATTATTGGATTTGAAAACGTGAAATTAATTCATTCACTTTGAAGACTAATTGATCCAGTGATAATTATTATGCAATTCATTTATAACTAGTTTAGATGTGCTGTCAAAAAAAAAAAAATAAAAAACAGAATACAGAATTTACTAATAAAATAGTAAAGACTTTATTGTCAAATTCTCATGAATTTATGCATGATACTAGATTGACATTTAGGTCCCACCTTTTTACAGTTAAAATCATTAAATGTACTCCAACAGTTTCTTTTCTCACACTTCCTGACAGTGAAATTCCCTTCCTCTTACTTGCTTCCCTCGTAACTACAATCTTCAGGGATTTAAAGGCAACACCTATTGCCATCTTTTGTTGTCTTGGACCCCATTCATCTTTTATCCTTTCCTCAATCCCCTTTATACCCAGTCTTTTCCCTCACTTTCACTCAATGTAACCCCCTGCATATTAGTGGCACTACTGCCTTGCTTGGGGTGAATTGCTTAAAAAAAAGAAAATATAAAAGTTAAAACATAAAAAAAAATAAATGTGCAACCTACCTTCCCGAAATATTAGGTAATAGTTTTTTTTTTTTTGTTTTTTTAAAAAAAAACAAAAAAAAAACATAGTCTTTAATATATACATATGGTGGGTGAGAAAACCTTAGAAAAAAAAAAAAAAAAAAAATTTCTTCTAACAGAAGGTTCAGTTACTTATCTCCAGCCTTCTAAACTGTTTTGATAAATTTTATCAACCTTTGAATTGAATACATTGACACATGTGTGTGTGTTTATTTTCTACCTGTACGAATTAAAATCATTCATTTTATAAATTGATAGGTAATATTATCAAGATATAAAAGTTTAGCTATTATTATTTGTTGATGGATTCTAAATAAAAGTTAACATCAGTTTATGATGAATTAAATATCATAAATAAAAAATATAAACCATAAATGAAATCTTAGTCAACACAGTAGTTCTCTCCCTTTTTTTTTTTTTGCTTGATGCATTCAACAGAGCCGGGGGCCAATACCAGCTGAAAGCTTGAATTTCAAAATAGGCAAGCGAATATTTATGGCTAATAATTTGTTAAAATTATGAGTACTTTTGCCTTTTGTTACAATATCTCTTATTATTTCTTTAAGAAAATTAATGTTTCATTATTGCAATAAGATATATATATGATGATTGTAAAAATTGTTTTAAAATCATATATATATATATATATATATATATATATATATATATATATATATATATATATATATATCAATGCAATAATGAAACATTAATGAAATTTGGGTTTCTTGCATTATGTTTGGCTCAGTTCAGCCAAATCTGATCTTTTTAACAGGGGCTTTAAATGATAATTTGAAGTTTTAATTTGAACATAAAAATTCTTAATTAGTTTATAAAAAAATGAAAAATACACAGTTTTATATTATTTCAGCCTCACCAGATAAACAATTTAAAATGGGTATCACATATAAGTCAAAGAGAAAATAATGACATAATTAATTAATTAATTATTAATTGACATAATTAATTAATGTTGACATTCCCCAATACTTCAAACAAAATATTATGAAGGAAACCTCCATTAATACGGAAAAGAGCAGTAACATCTACAAGACTTGAGAAAGCTATTTTCCTGAAAGATTGTTTTAAGAGAAACATTTTAAAAACCTAAACCAAAAGGAGCACTGGCTGCTCAGTCAGTCAATACAGAATGTTTCCGAGAAATGGCTAATATGGCACCTACAGTTTTTTGTAACTATTTAATATTGGTATTTTTACTAGGTTTGGATTAGTCAAGCAACAGGTTTGTTTGTTCTCTGTTTCAACTGAATCCTTCTTTTTTTCCCCGCCATATATCTAAACTATAATTTTGAAAAGTCAAAATTTCACTGAAATATATTGGAAAAATTCCAAGTTTTCATTTGAAATAAGTAAAATAGTCATAACACAGAAGACGAAAAAGACAACAATGATTTAAACAGTCAAGAGGAGATGAGTTTTAATGTGTCGAGGACAAAAATAATGAAAAGATCTTATAATTTTGTCCTGATAATGATTTACCAACTCGATCTCTTAGAATGATTTACCTAGGCACAAGGAATCTATTTCCTTAAAAAAACACTTCTTTATTGAAGTTTATCCTCTACAAAGTATTCCAAGAAATAGAACTCAAGATAAACCTTTTCTAAAACAGAAAATGTGAATTGGAATTAAAGAATTGTTGGCATATACCCTGAAACAATAAGATAAATTCAAGATAAGGAATTAGTAAATACAAGACACTTCAAATAACTCTGTGAATGGATCAGTTATAACAAATTTAGTCCAGGAGAAAAGGAAAATGAACATAGAATAGGCTGCACCAGAGTTAATTTTGCCCAACATTGCAAACTGCTATAAAACCAAACTGAGAACTGAAAATTTAAGTCATGTTCTTAAATAGTCTCATTTGATTGAGACTTTCATATGGATGTTATGCATGGTGATAAACCCATTCTGAAAAATCTAAACTGTCAGCTTTCTAAGATCAATGGTGAAAAAGGCTTTGAGCAAGTGAAGCCTTTGGATCTTGGCAAAGATCATCCTTCTTTGAACATTGGGGGCTGGTGCTACAGATTTACAGACAACAAACAGTATCAAATAACAGAAACCACATCACTTGAGGACTAGCAACAATATAATGGATAGCAAATGCAACATCATGAGAAAATAATAACATAATCAAGAATTTGAAATTTCACACTACTTCAAATAGAAAAGTTATGAAGGAAACCCCATCAATACTGGAAAGAGCGATAAAAGCTGCTGGACTTTAAAAAAAATGTTTTAAAAGAAAGATTTTATAAATTTCAACAGGAAACAGCAGTGGCTTCTTGGTCAATGAATGCAAAACAGCTCATATTACTGAATTAGTCATTGATGCCTGCTCATCTATGATAATAACACAAACATTATTCAAGTTCAGATGATAAATAACTTACTGTTTCCCTCTTCTTTTGCCTTCAATATGTCCTGTGAGTGTCAAATTTTCTAATCCTTCTCTGGGCTTTTGGGTATATCACGTTGAAACACTGGTTCTCATCTGATTACAAAAGTTAAGCAACATTAAGCCTGGTTAGCACTTAGATGGATGACCTCTTGGGAATATCAGGTGCTATAAGATTGGAGGTACATGTAGTGTAATGGAAAATGGCTTGGAATGAGAAATCAGAGTGCAATGTTTGAATTCCAATTTGTCTTGTTACATTCATTTATATTCAGAAATACCCTTAGGAAATTGTCCTGGGTAAGACATTAAACTACATCCGCGTCCTGGGTAAGACGTTAAACTACGTCCAGCAGCAAGGCCTCTTATCAGGAGGTTTTGAGGAGTGTGGAACCACCTCTTAATTGCTGGTGTTCCCAGCTCCACCCTGGCTTGGGGTTGTAGCACCTGCTAGGGTCCTAGCTATGGGCAAATAGTTAACTATCATCAGCAATACTTTTTTGAAAAAAATTATTGCCAGCAATACAATTTTGAAGGAAATATATTACCAGAAACAGATTTTTGACAAAACAAAATATTACCAGCAATAAAATTTTTTGTCTGCATTAAATAACCCATTGAGTTTGATATGCTGTAAAATAAAATAAACCAAAACTTAGGAAATGTATGAATCCACTTCACTCTTCTATCCATCTGTTAAATAGGTGGATTTTATCTGGAAATCATTTTTGCTTCTAATAAAAAAAATTAATACAATATTTATTTGCAAAAAAAAAAAAAAAGAACAGACAATTATTCTAAAAATTTGAAAATATGTTTCAGCTTTAAATAACCTACAAAAGGTTGATAAGCCATAAAAAACAATTCAATGAATCAATCAATCTAAACCTTCTCTCTTCATTTTATATCCTGAAAATTTCAAATGTCTTTTTCTGATTCTAAGTACAGGAATCATTCAATTATTGCGCTTTCAATTAGTATGATAAAATTTTTATATACCAAAATTTGATTAGTGCATACATAATACTCAACTAGTGCGGTAAAACATTCTTCAGTTTAACCATAGTAATTGAAAATTGAGGGATTCCTGTATATGTCTTTTTGTTACCATTGTTCTTAAAACTTCTTCACTGCTTACATGCTCTGTCCATGGTACTCCAATTAAATATCAGAGGATTATTCAAAAGATTTCCATAACCATCTTGGTGGAAAATAAAGATCCAAACTGTAATACGTGCATAAAATCTGGAGTAAGTTTATACTAAAAATGTCATGAAGTACCACAGATTTTGTATTTAAATTATTGAACAGAGAATATCTTTGAAGAAATTTTTAACAAAGAAAACAAATAATAGGCTTGATGGAACATACATGAGGATTCTTATACTTGATGTATCATGGAAAGAAAAGAAAAAAAAGGAGATCTATGGAAAACTCCAAAGTGTGACTGAATCATGATGGATTAGAAGATGGTAATTCACTGGGCACATATGGAAGATGAAAAAAGAACTGTTAAGTAGTCTTGTGCGAACCTAAACATGGAAAAGAGAAGAGAGGAGAGACCGACTGAAACATATGTGGATCACTTACGGAACAATACTAGTTTAATAAGTGAAGAACTCATAAAAATCATGGAAGACAAAGAAGAATAGAATAAACTTGTCAATGGAACTCACATTGAAATAGAAGATCAGTGAAGAAGAAAACATTTATGCTTGATTAAAAGAAAATTTTCATTTTTTATACTGCCTTGTTTCATACTTATTAGAGTTCCACTTGTAAAATCAAATCCTAATTTGCCATTTTCCAAGACACAAAGGCTGGTGACAGTAGTTGCAAAACTATCAGTCTTTCTAGCTTACATCAGAGGCACGTTAGAATTCAGAGGATCTGCAATCTAGACAATATCACTATTTAAAAGCACTTTCAACTTTTGGAGATAATTGACAGGAGCCAAGCCTCTGTCAGAAGAGAACATATCCAAGAAATATGTACTTGGTATTCATATACAGTTGTCACATAGTAAGACAAGCCACACTCTAAAAGGGTGAACAAACATTGTAAAGTTACAGTACATGGAAAGATAGAGTCAGGTATAGCTGATCATGTGCAAGAAAAAGTGGTAGTACATAAACCTATATGGAATGAAATTAAAAAAAAAGAGATTGAGAGCAACATTGGAGAATAAGGCAATTGAAAGGATCAGTACAGATGCTATTTATGATAATCTCCTCAGTAGGCCAAGAATTGAATAGTATCACAGAGGATTTGTTCAGAAAAGAACAGACATAAAGTTTAGCTTACAAATTAGATTGCTATAGGACATTATAGTAAAATAACTAATATAAAATGATTATGAAAAATATAATAATAAAAGTTATGCCTTGAATAGAAAATGGAGAAGGATTGATATATTTCTAAATTTTTTTTAATCATTTTATTCCAAATAACGTGATAATGCTACTAAGATGCAACTGGGTGGGAAAAAGAATGTGAAGATATTAATGAGGAAAAATGACAATAAAAGAAGAGGATGGAGGAAGACATAAGATGGTCATTGGTGAAAGGAGGCCATGTGAAGTGAGATGCTTAAACAATTCAGCATTGATTAAAGATTCTAGTACTTTGACAAAAAGAAGTAAAAAACTAATAGGTTCATAATTCAAGAGGTAAAAAGGTTCACCAGAGTTCTTAAAGACAAGAACTGCAGATGTTTAGTCATTTATTTTTTGCCTTCAGAAGTAAGTAAAATAATAATTTTTGAATAAGAAATTAGTTCTTATTAAAAATTCCTAAATGGTTCTTTTGGTATTTAAAATAATTATACAAAACATATCTTCTTCTTGTTGTAATGGCATTCACCTGAGGTGGGTTGAGTCGGGTCCAATATTGGAGTTTCATGGGAATTTGGAATTCACAAGCGATCCCCAACCCGCATGTATAGCACATGAGATTTGATTATAGTGGTGAAGGTTTCGTGCAGGTCCATCCACATTTTTTGAAGGGCCGATTACAGAGACCTGGTGCACTACGTACCACAAGGTCACCAAACAACCCTCCACAGGTTTTGAATTCAGAGTTTTTCCTTCTCCTAGACAAGTTGCCATCCAAGACTATAGAACCCAGTCTGCCCTGCTATTTACCCATAGCTGGAGGGAGAAGAAGAGGATTCATACCTTTCCCAACGGTATTAGCACTTAAGTGAATGTAATGGATTTGACTGGAATTCGAACTCGGCTCTGCGATTCCACAATCCAAGCCGATATCCATTACTCCACCATACCTCCTACAAAATGCCTAAACATATGCCTAAGAAACTCATATATTTTAAATAGATTATCATGAATTCTTTAAAATTATTTTATCATGGCAGCATCTATCTTCTCCAATGATACTGGAGATTTACTTTTTTAACAGCATCTCCCTTCAGGTCATAGTCAATCATAACTGTCTACAGATTCCTTTTCTCATGCAGAACAATGACAGCAATAAATGTTATGAGGTGGACAGAAAATTTGTTCTTCATTTATAGCTTAGCAAACCCAGCATACAATTTTTCTTTCTTTATTAAGCCAAGAACGTTCTCTTTTCACTTACAGGAAACACTTTATTGCTTCTCTTTGGCATATCTCAATTGCCAGTCACACTACTTTTGTGCATCGGCACCATTATTAAGCAAAACTTATAAATTCTTTATCTCTGGGCTTGATAACTGAAACCTTGGAAACTGTCTAATGAATTGACAGAATCTTTATTTTCACACTGACTTTGGTGTTCCATCATATATCTCCATTATTTAAGCTAACTCACTCCTCCTGCTGTTCACCTCAATCCTGAGAATAAAGCCTCCAGATTCACAAGCAAAACAATACTATTCATCACATGGTTGACATTTTTTTTTTCAGTTCTAATCACAGACTACTGAGCTCACAGCTGAGGAGTCAGTGGTATATTTCCTGTTATTGACAGGGTAGATAACTTCATAGAAAAGTATCTTCACACTATATTTTATATTTATACAAGGTTTTATTTCTGTCATATAAAAACTAATTAATGATAAATTATTTTTTTAAATATATCTATGACCATGTCTCAAACAGTAAGTTTAGAATTTTCTTAGGAATCAAGTTGCTTCTGTTACTGTATTTAGATTGAAAGGAAATTATTACTGTTTCTTTTTATCGTCATTCTATAGTCATCAAGAAACAGAAGAGAATGAAGAGAGAGAAACAAAAAACAGTCAGATGTTTTTTTTTCCAGATTTGTGGTTCATACTAACCATACCTTTTTTTTCTTTCTTTAATTTTTCTCTTTGATAAAATAATTTCAACTATTATATTTTGATTAAAATTTCTTACATCTTAATTTTAGTTGAATTATTTTAGTAGTATTAGTAGTCATAATCTTCAATCTTTTAATTTTTATTAAATGTAGCATTATTAGCCATGATTAACTAGTATTTTTTCATCTTAATTTTATGTTTAATTTACACTTGTAGTCAGAGTATTAATATTATTTGGAATTTAATAAGATGAAACATTGTCAACTATTAAGTGTTGACTAAGATTTCTTTCATCTTAATTTTACTTGCTTTTTTTCACTGTCATGTAAGTTTAAATGATTAAATAGGTCAAGCAACAGCTAAAATCCAAAGAGAATATGGATTGAAAAAGGTTTATCTTCCAGTTCGCTTTGGATTATCATCCTATATTTGGTTGAATAAATCAGGTGAGACAACACATTCTAACAATTCTTTGTATTTCTGTATATTCACTGAATTTGTTCCCTGTCTACATGCAGGTTGTTTGTTTCCAATAGAAGTTATAGATTATGAGAATATCTTTCATATGCAAATCAAGTTTTCCTAGTAATTCAAGTAGCTCTTTGTGTTGTATCTCATTAAATACTTTTGTTTCATCTATGAAACATACGTAAAAGACTTTCTGCTTTTGTTTTTCTCATTCTAGTAGTATTTTCATAATAAAAATTGCATTTCTTGTTCCAGTATCATGAAGAAAAGCCATGCTTTTCTTGTTTATTTCTGGTTTAATTCTGCAACAAGATCTATTCTTTAGACTCCTAATGATATGTTTTGTTATATGGCTCATTAAACTGACTGGGTTTGCATTTATTTGCAAATGGCTTCTTTGGCATTTCAATTAAGATAGAC